AATCATGTTTTTCGCAAACACTAAACAATTTTTTTACCAAACAGAGTGATTTTTTTATCGGACTGTATTTTCAGATCAGTTCAAGCATGTATAGTTGTACACCATATTTTCTTTTTTAATGATCTGACAAAAGATTATAATTATTATTTTAAGAATCATACGAAACACATGCCTTAATAATAAAAAATACGAAACACATGTCAACTACTCCGTATAACTTTTGAAATGTAATTTTTTTTCTATGTCGATATCAATATACCTATTTTTTGCATATTCCGGAACAACAATGACGAATTTTTTTAGATTATTTTAATCTTAGGCCGTAGTTATTAGAAGAATCCGGAAATGTCTAGGATGTGTTTTTAAAAAATACTTGTGAATTTCACATTCTATTAAAATATTAATACCAAAACAAATCTTTTGAAGGAAGAATCTAGACACAGTAATTAAGTGCAGAAAAAATAATGGAGTCCTCTGACTAATTTCAGACACGGACCCACCCACGTTCCAATTTCAAAATTTAAAACACGCAGCCAGGTCATTTATTCCAACCACACCCCCACACAACGTCATTTAATATTCTCGAACAACCCAACCACTACCCACCCCCATCACACTTTTGAACATTATCGAGCCACCCACCGCCAAACAGCCCACTTAAATGCACACAGTAAATCCACTCGTCAGAAATTCAACCGTTCTACTAAAAAAACATACACCAGCGTACACACAAATTTTGGAAAACCCAACCAACGCCCATAATGACACACAGAAAACCGAACTACCGTCATAAATGACAAACAAAACAACCACCCATAACCGTAGATGAATATGAACACAACCCTTTCCATCAGACCAAACCACCACCGAACATTATGCTTACCAATACAAATGAATAAACATCCCATATTCTATACAAATTCTCTAGACAACAATCAATCCTATATCACATCTCATATCTCACATCTGAACTCCAACAGGCATGAAAGGTCTACTTGGAAGCTGAAACCGCATGACTGAAATCGGTGAGGCCATAAACAATACGGCCACCTTGAGCGGCAGCACACAAGGTGGACATACAAACCAAAGGTAAAAATGACCACCTTATTAATTTTATTTTCATTCCCTAACACAGGCCACCTAAACTAACAAAGGTGTACATGAATTTGGTCCACAACTTCACCACAACCGAAGGCGAGACGAATGGAGAAACGGATGGAGAAAACATCATAAGCACAGAGTACCAAAAAAGCTAACGATCTATTTATATAAATGATTTAAGATTATTCATCATAACGTGTTATAATGAACCATTTCCCCTGTTTCTGGCCAGGAGAATGATACACCATATGCAAATTTACAGGTATCAGTTATTAACCAATATTCATAATATTTCATATGTTTCCACACAATATACTAACCATAAAGTAGTCACTAACACTCTTTCTTTCATTCAATTAATTGAGTGAGAGGAAATCTTAGGAAGACCAGCAGCAAAGGGCTCACAGGATAATGCACATGAGCAGCATTTACCACGTGAAGGTACCAACTAACTCACAAATCTATTTTAATCTATTTTAATGCAAAACCCTCCTCTCCAACTTTATTTTATTTTTAAATATCAATCTCGATTTTTTGAATTTTTACAAAAAAACCGAGGATAGTAAAAACTCCCCTTGATCTTAAAAATTTATCTTTACAAATGAATTTGATTTATTAAATTTATAGAATATATTGAAATAAAACCAAGTAAGGAAAAAGCCTCCGTTCTATATCTTAATTTATCCGTACGCTGGAATATTTTATCCCGATTCCTAAACAAATATTTCCCTTCAAAGAGATCAAATAGGATCACATAAACCATAAATATCGTGAACTTCAAATGGTTTTATTGGATGTTTAGAAAGTGCCCAACATTAATAACATCAATAATATAAGAGCGTTAACCTCAAAATAATTTACCTTGGTTAGACCTCTTGGCTCCTAACACACAAGATTTAGCTATCCTAACCATAACTAAACTCCTGAACACAGCATCATCTACCAAGGAATAGGGTCGTTAGTATGAGAACAATAAAATCCATCTTAAAGGTAAAACAAAGCACTTCAGTATAAAATACTTAATTTATCTTAAAATTAAAGTGAATTAAAAGTTCAACAAAACACATAAGAGGTGCACATCAGTAGAGCTCTGATGACTTAGAGCGTAGGTGCCCAATAACAAAAAGCTTCATTTCAATATATCATGAAACCCTACTGAGCCAACCGAAATCATAATGAACAACAAAGTCCCCTCCAAAATACAATTTGTTGAGCACGATGGGACGTGTGGAACGCCTAACAACAACCTCTTCCCTCCCCTCGGCGGAGTTTACCCCTGAGGTCTCCCCCATATCCCCGACGAACCAACGGAGATCATACGCTCCATAGAAGCGTGACAAAACCTCTGACGGCAGCTGGTTGAAAGGGATTCCTTGACGCAGAAAGTGAAGTTTATGAAAGTGATCACAACGACGACACCACCATATTTGACACGCACGCTCAAGCGTGTACATGTCTTGACAAAGACCAATCTCACCACAGATTTCACAATCCTTAAACATGCCACCAAACAATGAAGATTCACCTAAAAAACTTCAATACAGTTAAGTACCAAGTCGTTTGCAAATTTAAGAAATATTAACATAGACAATGGAAGTAGGTTTACAAATACACAACTCACACGAACAAAAATACAACACAGCCAATTTTATTTCTTCACTTTAAAAAATCGATTAATTCAACTAAACCTAGGCTAATGATTTATAAAAAATTCAGGAGAGATGTAGGCTTTAACCTTTGTTTCCACAATATTTATGCAGGAAACAATTGTCGGACCAGGAAGATCCAAGCGAGGAAGAAGCAGGCAGAGACCCAGGTGAAGAGAGGACTTTTACTACGCATTGGTAAGTTTTTTTTTCATCGGACTTCTTTATAATATGGGTGAAAGTCATGGGCAATCAGTGTGAAAACTGAATACTTACCCATTAAACAGTGAAAAGATATTATTACACCCACTAACTATAATGAAGAACCAATAGTGTGCTAACACAACACCCTGAAACTAAAAACCCACTAAGTGAAATAAGATCTGCAGGATTCATACCATGATGTGTACAAATAACGTCCACACCAAGAACTGAGCAAATCTGGAATGCACTGTTGTCTAAATTTTCTGCAGACTCAATTTCAAATTAACCACATATTTCAAATTTCAAATACCCATGTACACAGGTCTTTATTTAATTTATGATGAAATCTGATGAAATAGCCATGAAATACCGGGCTGTTGTATTTTCAAAGATAAAATTAAGTGAGACAACAGATATAATGAACATGTTGTAAAGAAATAAAATCCTGCTCTGAGCGTTTGTTTCAGGAAAAAATAGATACAGCCTAATAGGTTTAAAACTATTTTAATGCTTTTTAAATCCCAATGCCATGCCTGGGAATTTTATTCCTCAAATGCTAGGTTTATAATGCTTTTACCCCATGGAAACATAATAATTAACCACTTAACACACTATCTGTCTTGTTGTTTCTCGGGGACACCATTTTCTACGATGGATTGTTTTAATTAATTTTCTTCACGGATAAATTCCCCCGTGATGACATCTTATTTTTTATCAAATACCAAAAATTGAACTGTCCATGTTAAACCAATTGCCCTAGACATGGCCCCCAATCAGGGGGTAACATGTGGTGGAATTTTATTCAGTCCAAATTTATTATTTCTAATCTTTATATGTTTTCTTTGACAGGGCAAGACATATTCTCCAAGCATACTGCTAAAATAAAAAAGTATTTTGTTGGTGACTCGTGGTTAACAACCTTGATAGTATTTTCACTGAGTTAATTAAAACACCAGATATAATAAGTCTGTTGTATACAAATAATATTCCATCTTGAGCATGTGTTTTAGAATAACATAAACACGACAAATGCGTGTGTTTTATTTACTTAAAAGCATTGTGAGGGGTTCCAAGGGGTTCCAAGGTTAAACTAAGTGCCCCGGACATGTAAGAAGTGCCAAGGTTAAACTAATTGCCCTGGACATGCAAGCAAATCACGGGGGTAATAGGTGTTGGAATCTCTTCTGGACAGTTTAGTATTCATAAGGCGTAGATTTTTATTTTGAAATTGAAAGACATAGCCTGCAAGCATACTGCTGAAATCAAAACTGGCTCATCCATTTGATAGGTGAAGCTGCTGCCAAACATTCATACAGATTTTAACTTGGGATATTAGACTCATTTATGCTCTGCTCATTAATATGTAACATTCAAGCAGATTGGGATTTTAGCTCTACTTCTAACAAAGGTTTACATGTAAAAAATGCAGGTAGTGTGCAACGGTCATTGATTTTGGTTTCTGAGGCTGCCCACAGCATGGGAACCCCTTCACACACACCCTTTGCACTAATTTATGTATTAAAATGTTGTAATAATTAGACATAGGGTAGATTTAGGGGGACGCAAGCTGCCCCGGAACAGGCCTCAGGTACGCCTCTGCATCCACCTATTCAATCGGTATTTTATTCTACACCCATGCTTTGTATTGACCCGCAAACAATGTCTCGACTCTGTCCCAATTTATTTTTCTAAACACAAATTGCAAATATTATTCTAAAGACTCCGTTCTGCATCGTTAGGTCAGTCATACATATGCTTCATAATACAAAATATCTTATTAGAAAATCATCCCTGGTAAACATGATAGATTGGCACTCTTTGTGGGCCGAGTCCTTGGCCTAAAAACATAGCAAAAAGCAAAACCGTAGGCAACTCCGAGCCCATAAGGGGTCAAGGGTATGGCACCATGGCAGCCATTGTTGCCCACATTTTAGATACAGTCCCATATTATACATAAATGCTTCTATAGATAACAACAGAAAATAGTTATTCTAAACATAGTAAGGCCCTTGATCACAATCACTTCTCAACCTTGAAACCCTTAAGCTTCTTTGAAGAGCTTGAGCCTGAAAATTCTCCAAATAGGTCACGCTTGAGTCTCTCATTGTCGACATCGAGAGCCTGCCTTTTCTCCTTAGTAAGTAGAGGGCTCGAGACAGATATCTGTGAGGAGCCAGCCTGAAATTTAAACCCCGATTAAGTCTGAGTTACACTTTTCTGGTTTGTAATAAAAAATCAAGAGAATAGTTCACCTTCTCTGTCCCAGAAAACTCCTTGGCCAACCTGCTGAATTCGTCTTCCTCCTGTAAAAGAATTAGGTTGTAGTCAGAAAATATTAATCTGTATATGAGTTTTTTTTTGTTTTTTTTTTTGTTTTTACCTCCAGTGCGGTTATCTTGTCAGAGTAGAGTGCCAGCACCTTTGGATCAGTGTTCATCCTAATCACACTGTATGTCTGGTTACCTTTGAAACTTTTGCTTTCTCTCTTGAACTGCACCTTGAACAAAGCCTTTATGTCAATCAGAGAATTTATCTCTGATGGAAAATAGTGAGGTCCAAAGTTTCTCTGAAAAGTAATATTAAGATGTTAGTTTGCACCTGAATATAAAAATCAAATCAAATAGGAATTAGGACAAAAACAAACCCTAGATATTTGTTCCTTAAGAGATGTTGCTGACTTCCCCAGCAAACATGAGACTTCCCTATCCCAAAGCAAGAATGAGGCATGGGTAGTTCCATCAACAACCCTAACATTGACCTTGTACCTCAGAACTGCATCGTTAGAGCTGCATGAAACACACCAAAAGCTGTCTCCGTTAGGCGAGACTTTCCTATTGCACCCTATGCACGAAACGTACGACCAATCCTTATAGCTGTCGATTGCTACGATCTCTCCGTACACCCAGTGTTTGCCGTCCTATTTATCACACAAACATCCCAGTCAAAACGATTAGGGAAACTGTTTTTAAAAAAATTAAAAACACAAACCTCTTGCAGTTTCCCTAGTGCCTCAATGGTTATCAGATCTTGCTGTCCCATTGCAATGTCTGCATCATTAGAGGTGTCCGAAGTTATAGTAAAGCTCAGTCCCTGACCGGTCCTCAAAGCCATCCTGAAATGCATGTTTTGGGAAGATGTTACATTCATTATCCCAAAATTTTAACATTGTTAGTTGAGCTGTTTTGAAGTCTGCACCTGGACTTAAAGTCAGCAAACTCCTCCTCATCCCCGTTCAATATGACCTTGGTTGTGTTGAACATGTTTGAGACATGAACGTGTCCTAATAAAGGTAAACATAAGCAAGAAACTTCAGCAATGGACATAAAATTAACTTGACATTGAGATGTATTGATTTTGGAATGACCTTGATACTTCCTTGCCTTGCAACACTGCAGGAGCATCACAATTGGATCGGATGTAGTAAGCTTGTAAGTCAATAGCATTTCAACCATTGGTCCCCACAGAGTGCATGCTATGACGTTACCCCTACGGACACCATTTTTTAAAATTAGAATTTAACACAAAAAACCAACACAAACAATATGCCTCTTAGGTATAAATTAACACTCACGATGTGTCCCCCAAAATCAACTCCTTCAACTTCTTTGGCCTCTCATTCTTTAAAATGGTTTTTGGGTCTTTATCGTGCACCACCTGGCCAATTATATCTAAACATTCGAAGTGTAAACTTTATATATTTTCTGAAAAGGGTGATTGTACAATGAAACACAAATTGTAATTAAATACCAATTCCGCATTTTTCGTCGATGATGTCTAATGCTTGCAATGAAGCAAAAGACACCAAGGAGAAAGTCCTCATGGGGAATGGAACCCCTTTAATCTCGAAAGCAGCACTTTTGTTAAAGAAACGAAGCCTATAAGCACTTGTTGAAGTTTTGAAAAACATATAGTTTTCCTCAACCATGAAGTTTTTGACAGCAAACACTCTGCCCTCCTTGAAAACACCATTAAATTTGTTTATGAACTGATCCGGGATGTGTGCGTGCATCCTGGACCCCTGCAGTTCAAAAAGAGTGGGTCAAACTATTCATAAAATATGTGTAAAACACGACATTCACGTAAAGCACAGAAACTGAACCTCCTCGTCATGAAAGACGACCTCCAAAGACTCAGGGAAACAGTCATGAGCCGGCTCACGGTAAACTCGTATCGCCCTAGCCTTTATTGCCCATGTTGTTTTGCTTTGGTCTATTTCTCGGAACAAAGACCACATGCCAACCATTTTTCGATAAACTTCTTTTTTGTTCTTAACTGATTGCCTATGTATGGATGCAGTGCTGCAACATTGGCATGGCTGAATTTATAACAGCCAAATGGGCCAGCCTTATCAATCGGAAACAGTGGAGATATCTTCTTCAGCCAATGAGAATTGTAGTTGGAATTGGGGGGAAACTGAATTTCCAAATTTGAATTATGAGTAGTTACACCAAAGCCAAACCAATAATGCACAACAGCTCTCAACCGTGTATAACCTTCATACGTAGTAACCAACTGTTCATATAAAAACGGTCCAATCAGAATGAAGCACACAGAGTTGGAAATCCTTGTGAAATCTTTATAATTTGTCCGGAACTCCTCCTCCACTCATTTGTTGCCCTACAACAAAATTTCTCAAACATGCCCTAACATTATGATTTTTTATGCTCGCAGCCCTTTGCCAGCTATGCACCGTAGAGCAATGCACCTAACACTTGAAAGCGACGTTTTTGGGGGGGAACTTCGGCCCACTTTTATTTTGCTTTTAGATTAAGATAGATTTCAAGTTAGTATAAGCAAATTTTAGTGCTGAACGTAAGTTTAGCATTAACCGAAGACACCTATCTAAAAACTCATATATTATTTACACAGACAAATAGACAATCATATTTGATTATCCAAATTAAACACAGTGTATAAAAAGTGTAATTATGAAGTATCAAATACAAGTGTTTAATTATAATTATGATGTTCAAAGCTATAACTAAATCCTGAAGAACTAGCTTAAAGATCGAGGTGTGTGTAATCACACACACAAACAAGCAAACAAAATTCTAGAGAGCGATAACATAAAATTTCACAAAAATGTCCATTCATACAAAAGTTGTAGCTTCTCATATCTGAGGTCTCCCTAAAAACATTCGTTCTCATCCTTACCTAATTTTAGTTTCCTGTGCAAAGGCCTATTTATATCCAGCCAAACTTTCAACCGCATATATGCCTCCAAATATCCCCAAAGTGTCATTCCTCAACATTTATTAATTTACCCATCGAATTCCCAATTATTTTTGTAATTTTCAAAGTAAAAAAACTCATAGGTAAATTAAACACTTAAACTCAGAAATAAGCCTTATTAAGAGGAACAGACAAAGGCAGTTCACCGTCTTGTAGCGCATGCACATCTAATTTGACATATGCATCCTTGAAATATGAAATCGAACAAACTAATATGAATGACTATATATGTGTTATTTACTAAATTAGATTTCTCTCACTCTATATGTTTTTATTTGACCTTCTCACTACTAAATAACATTATCTTCAATAGTTAATTTTATTGCACGCTTTCTTTTAGATTTTAAATCGATCCTTGTTTCAAATTAGAGCATTTTTTGATGAATTTAATCAAAACTTTGTAGTTTTAACAAAAAATAATAAATAACTAGATACCTAGCATTGACTTTAGAAATGTTAACTTTGGTTGCACGTATATTGTAGAAATGTTAATATATTGTAGTTAAAAATAAGGTCTTTTTGTGCTAGAAGTACAGAAAAACCATCTTGCATGTTGAACACACATAAACACAAACACAAATATTTATAGCACACACAAAAAAGAACCTATTTCGTTTATACTCCCTTCATACTATAAATATGATCTCGTTTTATGTTCTAAAACATAATAAAGCATCGAGTAAACACTACAAAAAAACAATGATTTTGGCACGAATTTGGCACGGAGCTTTGGCACGGATTTACCAAAATTCGTAGGGTATTTGGCACAAATTTGGCACGGATGTGTTAAATCCGTGCCAAATTCCGTGTCAAAGTCGTTTTGTCACCAGCTATTTGGCACGGCGCTGTGCCAAAAATAACTTACAGTCTGTGCCAAACTTGCCCAATCCGTGCCAAGTCCGTGCCTATTTCGATGTTTTTTTGTAGTGAAAAGTATATAAAACCATCTTGCATGTTGAACTCCCTAAGCTAGGATAGGTTTAGGGAAAGTATATCTTGAAGTCAATATAGATTCCACAGAATATTATTTTATGTACAAAGCAATGACAAAATCTAGAATTTAGAACATCAAAACTGTTGGAAATATGTTCTAGGACAATCATAGTTTATGATTTATCAATAAATATTTAATGCTCATTAATTAATAAAGTCACAAACTCATTTTATGTTAATTATTATTGTGAGTTTTCTTTATTAATATTTAGTCCCTAAATACTATGTTTAGTAGCTAATTAAGTATGTGACTTAATTGTGGAATGCTACACTTTAAAATAAGCATAATATTCTAATTGTCCCTGGTCTAATATTATTAATTTGGGACATTAATAATTAATAGACCAGTATGTGAATTAACTGATGGCTATATTCTACTAGTCATGAGTATAGAGATATCAAGTTAATAACATAGATACTTGTTAGGGAACAGGTTCATTGGACAGACCCAACTTGAGGACACCGCTAGGTTATTGACGTGCACTTTGTCGTGTGTGCACTCAAAATAATTATCAACACTAACAACTATACGTAGTATAGCGTAGTAGAGTTCGTATCCACAGGGAAAGGAATAATTCTCTTTTTATGTAACTAGTAAATAAAGGGGGGTTTTGATTTTGTGATTTAATTAAATTAAACACGAAGATGAACGAGTTATATGGGTTTTAATTCAAAGATAAAAGGGACTTGGCATTGCTATTTCCACTTGTTGATATATTTTAGTCGATCATTGTTATATCTATAACTTATCTCCTCTCGAATACTCAATCGAGGAGTATATCCAATTCATCGAGGATAGCTATTAACAACGACCGTTCATTAATAACCCTTACTATTAGTCAAGTATAGAACAACGCCATATACCGACTTGATAGTAGCATTTAATCTCTTAACTTCTTGATGAAATCAATTGAGATTGATAACCTCAACACAATGGTTTTGGTTTAACCAACAAAATTAATCCCTCTTAAGTTTATTAACCACGACCGTGCATTAATAAACCGAAGTTACTTGCTTGTGAAACTATCAACGATTAACCATCGGTTCGTTGATCGTTTCTAGTAATAATTAATATATGAAACAAAACTAGTTGATCCTTTAAGTAATGTTCAAAATATTAATAGGAAATATGAATAGGAATTAATTAATACTCAAGGAAGAATATTAAAGAAAATGAATCCTACTATAGTTAATATCAAGATGTTAACTAATAGTCATCTTAGTAACACTCCCCAATATTAACATAGAGGAAGGAATAGCTATTACTAAGACCAATGTCAAGATGTTAACTAATTGTCATCTTAGTAACACTCCCCAACATTGATATAGAAATAGTATTTAAAGGAAGAAATAATATTCAAGGAAAGAAGTTAAGAAAATAACTCACAACTTTAATAATCAACAAGCTTCAAGAGCAATACCAAGAAATGGGAGTTTAGCTCCTCATTTGGAGACTAAGCATGCTAGAAGAAAATATAAAGAAATGCTATTCTAAACTGAGCTTAAGAGTATAAAGGAATTGATATCTTATTGTGAAGGAAAGTGGGTGTATTTATAGGCTTTTTAGGGGTGCAGCTCGGTTACTCGATCGGGTATATACAGGTACCCGATCGAGTATGTGTAGAAACTCGAATTCGACCCATACTCGATCGAATTCAAAGTATTATTTATATATATACCCGATCGAGTATGTCGGTGTACCCGATCGGGTATAGACACTCGATCGTGGTCAAAATCTTCCCTGCATGTTCCTTTGTTTTCGGATCCGATCCGATTTCAAATTTCAACAAGATACCCGATCGAGTATAGGTGATACTCGACCGGGTATAGACCAAAAAATCAGGATCTTCCCTTTGTCTTGTGATTTTGCACATTCCTTCCACTTTTGGGGTTCACCAACTGTCCTTTGAGTGATAGTAGACTTGTTTAAGCTCAGAATGATCCTAATCTAAATGAATTACAACTAAATTACAAACATAACTATTACACCAAAAGTGTGTAATT